AGACAAGACTTCTGCTATTTTAAGCCAAAGCCAGAGAAGTCAGCCTATAACAGCCACTTCACAGTGACAGATCCTTCACAGCGACGCCAAAAAAGGTCACGACAGGCCACTCAGAGTCTAACACAAACACTGTTTGGACTAAATCACTAGACGCCAGCGTGGAAATTGTGCAGACATTTTCCAAAGACAAAGGCAAATGCTCCTGCCAGTGTGTGATGCCGACAGGAGCACGTGTGCTGGAAGACCTTTTAGAGACTGAATTAATGTCACTAAATGTCCTTTGACTTGTGTCTGTCGCTGCTGCCACGGCAGACAATAGAGTGATATTTTGGGATGAATCACTTTTCCATGCGGCTGCGTCGTGCCGTCGGGCTGAACGTTGCCGCTCCATGAGGTTTTGATTTATTTACATCCAAACGAGTGCAATAAAAGTTCACAGTAATAAAAAGTTTTGGACGTGCTGCACCATATCTGGGTCAGAAATGGCTATAAATGTCTTTGAACACGAGCCGCTGTTGAGCATTTAACTGTTTTGTACTCCGACCTCATGAGAAGATTCACTTGAAAGTGTGTTTTCTGAATCTTGTTCATCTGTTTCAGGCGCTCGCTGCCACATTTTTACTCACTGTGGGCTCATTTTTCGCTCCAAAATGAAGTCCTGCACCTCTGTGGAAGCAGCACAACCATGTCTGGAAGTAGAGTGAACTCTTCTGTGTTGTGTGACACAGTTATGACGCCATAAATGATACAAAATTACAAATTAAAGTTGAATTTCTTTATTTAATTTACAAAAAATTCAAAAAAAAATGGAATGTACAGAATTTTTCAAGGTGCCTACAAGCATCACGAACACTACAAAAAACAAAATAAGCTCACTCTATGCACTGTAGATGTTACTCTCCTCACATGTTTGATCTGTTTCCTGTCTCCTGAACACTGCCTGCAGTTCAGTCGAAAACGTCCTATAAATGTCTCGACAGTGGAGTCTGTCGTGGCTTTTTAGTTGCGCTGAGAAGCCCAGAAGTTCTTGTTTTTGACAGAATTTGATTTGTACAAATGTGATTGTTGATTTAAACAGTTAGAATGAAGTCATTCTGATGAAATTCTGTTCAAGGACCATCAGAAAGCTGTAAATCCAAACCGCTCTCTTACAGTTTCTAACGCTGATGAATCATGTTGGTCATGTTTTAAAAATATAACACGGCTTTTAAACCAACCAGCAGGTTTTGGGCTTTAGAGCTTTAACAGAAAAACCAATGTTCAGCACCAGACTTCACCAGACTGAGAGTCTCTTCTGGTCCGCAGCTGTTTGTAAGCACTCATGAATAAATAATATCTGTCATAGTCAAATGGTCAAAATAATAAAGCCCATTCATACGTTATGAGATGTGTATTGATAGCGATCTGGTGCGTATTCTCCTCATGACGTGTGTCAGCTCTGCTGAAACTCATTAAGTGGGTTTTATTCTGCTATCAGTCTGTCTGTTGTTACACAACGCGCACGTCAGTCAAGAGAAAGTAATCTCATTACTGCCGTCCCCACGGCGGCCTCATGGATCGTGTCTGTTCTGGCCGTGCGGTTTGGTTTGAAGGGTTCTGTTTACTGCACGTCTTACAGCTGCTGCAGCATGTGTGAGGTCACCGTTTGGACTAATCACAAACAGAGGGAGCCAACAGTTGGTCGCTTTATGGGCTCGGGCCAAACCGCAACTCGTCTTAAAATAAATAGACAATTTTACGGCGTCCGCTCTAGTAGCAGGCGTGACCGGGCGTCCTGCTTCCCAACCAGACGTGGTAATAGGTGCAGCTCAGACTTCCACTTCAGCTACGAGGAGGTGAAATAGTTTCTGGGCTGCTGTAAATGTAAAGTCCGGCTGAAACCCAATGAAGGAGCTCCGCTGAGCCGCTGCTTCCACGGGCCGCCGGGTTCAGTGTTTCTAAATGCGTTTCCAGATGGAGAGAAGCTCGGACGCCCATCAGCACAATGATAAAGTGACTCCGGCGCTGTTTGAGAGCAGAACCGTCGGTTTGAGGAAACAAACGCTCTTTTGTGTCGCCAGAAACTTTTCGCAAAAGCAGCTCAGTCTTCACTCGACACGTGTTGTCAGGATTTACAAGGTGAATAGACGCCACAGACAACCGCTAGTCACCAAAAACAACACTGCTGTGAGGGCCTCAGTCAGCTTTTACAACCCTGACGTCACGTGTCGGCGAAGTCCGGGCCGACCGCAGGACGCGAAGCCTCGACTCAGCAGCACGAGACTTTGTCCAAGACTTTAACGGCACTGACGACAGAGAACAGCGGAAAAAGGCACAAACAGACAATAAAGTTTTACCAGCAGAGGCCTTTGGTTTAAACAGAGATGATGTCATTTGGATTTCTATAGACGCAGTTAATTATTAGAATCTTTAGAGGAGCTGAAGAAAATATTTGAGAAATTTAACCGCATTTAATGATCAGATTTAATTTTAACACATTAGAAACCTGAACTGTTAGTAGTGTAGTTTTTTTTTTCATCATTTAAACCTTTTTTTTTTTTTTACTTTATAAAGGCTAGAAGACAGATCACGAGTGAAATAAGCAGCTTGTTTATCTTAAATCTGCAGAGTACGACTGACAGATTCAGTCTTTCAGGATTTCATAACAAACCAAACAAACCGACCCAGTTCACTTGGACGGTGGGACTTTTCTTCTTCACCCTATTCAGGACTTTTGGGGTCTTCTGGACCCCACTTGTTTTAGGTGACAGGTATTGTTTTGGGGTTTTTTTTGGTAAAGATATATTTTTTTTAAATCTCAAAAGAGGGACATTTGTTTCGCATTTGGAACCAAAAATACGTCAACTTATCAGAAAATGTATTTATCATAGTATAAAGGTCTATAATGAATACCAACAAAGATTTTGCACATATTCTTTTTTGGGAACCCCGAAAGACCTTCTACGTCTGGCAACATGAAAGTCCTGAACAGGGTTCAGGATCACTTTCCAGTTTGGCTTAATTTGACTGCATTGTGCAGCGTCCAGTACCGTAATATCTGGACTATTGAGGCACCTGAATATAAGCCGCAGCCGCTAACTTTAAAAAGAAAACAAGTTTTGTATACATATATACATATATACATATACAGGCTGCAGGTGTCCACGTTGTAACATGAGATGTTTACACAGAAAGATGTTTTAACTTTTAATTAAATACGTACCTGTAACATACATAAATGCTTTTTTCTGAACAGTTCCTGTAACACGGCTGGTCAAAGAAATAAAAACTCCAGCAGCCTACCAGGAATAGTAATTGATCGCTATCTTCATCTTCCTCCTGAACAGTAAAACCTCTAAAGTCATCGTCTTCAGCCTCAGAATTCCTCAGTCTCTCTGTCGTTGTTGCTCAAAATGTCACTTTGGTCTCGAGGCAAATTCGTAAAAATCCACAAATTAGCCGCATCGTTGTTTAAGCCGCAGTGTGAAAAAGGTAGCAGCTTATAGTCCGGACATTACAGGAGTTTACAGTGTTTGAGCCGTAGGTGAGCTGGTGTGCTGAAGCTGCAGCGAATAGGGAAGGATGACTGTGAGGAGAGGCGGAGCTTCACAGATGATAAATGTATAAGTGCCATCTTTCGTTTGGCCATTTTTTGCAAGTAGTTAATTATCCTGAGGTAGCATGAGGCTGCTAATGAATGTCAACAGAAGGGGGAGGGGACGCTTGCAAAGCATTCTGGGATGTGTAGTATTGAGTTTGACACCTTTGTTGTAGAGGAAGTTCCAGCTGAGCCATTTTAAAGAAGGAAGGGATTATTTTTACAGAAAACAATCTAAATATGTCCATTTAATACGCAGAGATCAGCTTTAGGTGTTACATCAATGAACGGAGGAGGAGTTTGAAAAGTTTTTTAGCTCGAAAAAACACCTGAAATTAAATATGGAAAATGCAAAAAGACAGATTTCTCCCTCTAGGAGTGCATACAGATACTGAAAACGTGTTTAAAAGCTTCCCAAGTCCTCCCAACATCCCTGTGATCAGACCTGTTTTACAGCTAAACACTACATCTGGCTTTCTAACGGTTCACATTATATAAGATGCTGCTGACATTTTACAAAAAGAGGAAACGTTACCTGTTAAACTATACATGGTATAAAAATGGCCGCTGTTAAATATGCAGTGTGACATTCAGACTGTTGCATTTTTGAGCCGCTGCGGTATTAAAGATTAAACAGAAGCCGTTTCTATATTGCAGGAGGTGTGACAGAAGGAATGACAACCAGGATATTCATACAATAAACGTCTAAATACGATAAAGCCGATTTAAGCCCCATTCACTGGGTTTAGCCTCTGAAGCCTCCGGGGCGCCTTTCTTTGGACGTGATAAAGACCCGCAGCCTTTCATTCATTTATATAAAAGCCGTTTAAAATAGAGAAACGCAGGAGGCACCGTGGGGAAACCGTCAGATGAGGCTTTCAGCTCTGCTAATGTACCTAACGAAGAGCCCGTGGTGTTCAGGATTCGCAGCTGAATCATGTTAAAATGAACGTCCCTGATGAACGAGGGAGCAGAATTAGATTAGCTTCGATTTTAATAAGATAGTGGACAAATGAGGGTCTGCGCTTAATAATCCCTCATTTCTCAGGGGGTTTGGACACATCTTGACTTTCCAAAAGACGTCTTTAAACTTAAATTTAGGCTCTTTTATTACATTAGCGTCGTGACTGATTTGATAATCTGCTCGGTGGATGAGGTAACTCTGAAGGATGGAATAACAATCTTTATGCTTTATGCTTCTCCTTATTAAGGCTCTGTAGATAAGGTCCATGCCGTTAGAATAAATGTGACACTGAAGTGTACATTTAAGGAGAACTTCAAGATTAATTGATCAGTTGTCAAGTCTTATATTAGTCGCCAACTTTTTTTTTTAAGGTCTAAATCCTGTGATTGGTTTTTTAAATTATAGCTATTCTGCTTTCTTTCCTGGGAGGTGGTTAGCATCGTCGCCTCGCAGCTAGAAGGTCGCCGGTTTGCGTCCCAGTGAGGACACCTGGGTTCTTTCTGCGTGGAGTCTCCATGTTCTCCCCGTGCAGCGTGGGTTCTCTCCGGGTTCTCCGGCTTCCTCCCACAGTCCAGAAACATGCTGAGGTTAATTGGTGATTGTAAATTGTCCGTAGGTGTGAATGTGAGTGTGCTTGGTTGTCTGTCTCTAAGTGTAGCCCTGTGATAGACTGGTTACCTGTCCAGGTGAACCTGCCTTCACCCTGAGTCAGCTGGGATAGACTCCCTGTGACCCTAGTGAGGATGAAGGTGTAGAGATGATGGATGGTTTCTTTCCTCCTCCATAAATGTCTGAAAAGTAAATATCTCAGGGTTGGGGACAAAAATGGTCATTTTTTCTCTGGATTTAAGAACCACTGATGGACATTTAAAATCTAATCCAAACTAATGGATTCATCGTGAAACTAATCAACAGAGAAGACGCTCGTTAGCTGCAGCAATAATTCTGAACCCCTGAAGCGTCTCCTTCACCCGCTGATCAAATTCACAGTCACTCACCTCCACCTCTTTCCAGGCTGCCATGTGGCGTTGTTGGATGAACTTCATCGTGGCCTGGGTATCCATGGCAACCCCCACACTCTGCCAAAGTGGAGACGGTGATTGGGGTTCAGGATCTGACACCTACTCCACGGTAATGGCCACCAATGACACGTTGCAGGCGGTCGGCGATGAGCCCGCGAGGGTGAAAAACAGCCATAGCTGGGCCCCGTCGCCTTCGCCTCCGCCCGTCCTCCACTACGAGCCCCGACCGGACCAGTGCTCCGTCCACTTCAGCACCAGCGCCGCCTCAGCTCGACGGCTGAAGGCCCAGAGGGAGGAGCTGGACTACCTGCGGGCCATACAGCACGCAAACAAGGCGGTGATGGAGAACTTGGTGCAGTACGTCGGGGCGGAGTTGGGAGATCAGAACTACGAAGACATCATCAAGGAAAACGTCATCGGCATCCAAGAGGACCACAAGAGCTGCCATGAGGTGGTGGAGAAGGCCGAGGAAGACCTGGAGAAGCAGCTGGAGGGAGACGGGTCGGACTCCCTCGCCGGGATGCAGAAGTGAGTGCAGCAAATCAAATGTGTTTGTGCCGAGCTTCATAAAGTTAATGGTGTAAATGAAACGAGAGCAGCTAGAGGAGGACGCGCTTATTTGTTTGTGCACCGAAGATGTAAACAAATTAACGGCGGTAGGGCGTAAATTAAATGTCTTGTGACTGAAGGTCTGTTAAAGCGATTTTGCTTCTCATTAGACAGTGAAAGCCTGGTTTTGCCCCCTTCATTCAGTCCGGCAGCTCATGTGTAAAGGTTTTATTATGTGAATACAGAGGACTGACATTTGACCTCCTCGTTCAAACACCAACCTTCAGAATCTATATTATCTAGTGACCATCTTCTGAGCGTGATCCGGGGATCTGCAGCCATTTCCAGCTTCAACAGCTGAGAGTGCAGGGGGATGGAAACATTTAGTCATTTAGCTCATTAGTAGTGATGAACGATATTCAAATTTCTGGCCGATGCCGATATTAAGATTTCTGATATCGCCGATGACTGATATCACCGATGTCGATATTCCATTTTTTCATTATCAAAGGTAGAGACGAAGGCGCTGATGTTAGACAGTCTCTGGTTTTTCACATCAGCTAAATTTGTTAATTGGACCAATACCGATATATTGGAAAAAAAAACGCTAATATCGGCTGATATCGATATTAAGATTTCCGATATCACCGATGTCGGTATTAAATTTTGTTCACACTGAAAAATTAGTATAAGTAAGAACTGTGAGAAAACTATTGAAAAGAAACTAAATTAGATCACATAGTCTAATTTATTACAAAAGTAAAACATATTTAAACATATTAAATGTTAAAGGACCATTTTAGTAAAAACATCTGTGAAATAGCAGCAATATCAAACGTAGAGACGAAGGCGCTGAGGTTAGACAATCATTGGTTTTTCACATCGGATACATTTGTTCATCAGACCGATACCAATATATTGGAAAAAACACTAATATCGGTCAATACCGACATCCGATGTTACGATTTCTGATATCGCCGATAACGGATGTTACCGATGTCGATATCAAATTTTTGTTCACATTGAAAAATTAGTATAAGTAAAGCACTATGAGAATGTGAAGACTATATTAGACCACATAGTCTTCTTTATTACAAAAGTCAAACATATTTTAACATATTTAACGTTAAAGGACCATTTAAGTAAAAACATTTATGAAATAGCAGCGATATCAACTGTAGAGACGAAGGCGCTGATGTTCGACAATCATCGGCTAGATTTGTTCATCGGACTGATGCCGATATATGAGGAAAATACACCAATATCAGCCGATACGATATGCAATATTAAAATTTCTGATATCGCCAATAACTGATATCACCGATGTCAATATTACATTTTTGTTCACTCAAAATGAGTATAAGTAAGCACTGTGAGAACGTGAAGATTATTCAAAAGAAGCCCAAATTAGACCACATAGTCTTCTTTATTAACAAAAGTAAAACATATTTAACATATTTAACGTTAAAGGACCATTTAAGTAAAAACATCTGTGAAATAGCAGCGACATCACCTGTAGAGATGAAGGTGCTGATGTTAGACAATCATCAGCTACATTTGTTCATCAGACCGATACCGATATATCAGGGAAAACGCGAATATCGGCCGATACCGATATATCACCGATATATCGTACATCCCTACTTATTAGTTCATCAACCTCAGATCACCAGGATGCCATTAAATCTGACTGTCATTTCTCTCCGAACAACTCCGAGTTCTTACATCTGAAATGTGAGGATTTGCTGGTTTCCTTAAATTTCGGGACTCCTGATTGCATTATACAATCATCTGAAGGATTCACTTGGATGTCTGGGAGATAGTAAAGCCATTATTCTCTATTTTCTGATTTCATTAACTCGGCATTTACTCAGATTAGATGCAGCCTGGATATAAATAAATGTGAACGTAGTGATTTATCGGTTATGCGGCAGCACGGCCCTTTAAAGGAGGCGGCGGACTCTAAAGCCCCTTTCAGACCTGCACTGCCTTCTGTTAATCTGACAATAGTCTGACTCACCGGATGTAGACTTCAGGTGTACGTAAGCCATTTCTCCCACACATTTCATGCACCTTAGTCCTCCCTGTTTGTTGCTATTTTCAGATTTTCCTTCACTACAGGAAACAACAAGCTTCGAGCAGCAGCCTACACACTGAACAGATAAACATTTGAGTCGTGCAATTATGCAGCCCTGCTTGATTTTTCGGGGGTCGCTCACCTTCCTGCATACAAATGTTTCTCCAAAACACTTTTTGCAGAATCACCGTTGCCGCATTCTCGACTCAGCTCCGCCTAACACGACTGTGATCGGTTTAAAGAAATAAAAACAATCCTAAATGGTTTTTTTTTATGTTAATGAGGTGCAGCCAAACCATTCAAGACGGATCCTGTTCTGTAAAACTGATCTGACGACATCTGAATGTGTCGGCCTCGTGTCTGATTGAACTTTTCAGTAATAGGTCAGAACCTGCAATATCTTCTCATCACTTTCAACACAGCACAGGAAGAATTTTTACACATTTCAGCGCCAATATTGATCCGATAGCATCCCGGAGAGCAGAAGACACAGTCTGATGCCTAAATTGTGAGACACATTCCTCATTCGCTCTGCTCCACAACTGAAGAGTTCATTTGCAAAAACAGATAACTTTAAGAAAACTTGTTTTTGTTGTTGTTTGCTTGAGATAATATCAATCAAACTGAAGCTGAGTGGATCTGACTCATGACAGCTTCAGTTTGATTGATATTGTCTCAGGCAGACGATGGAAAAGTCTGTAACAGATCATCGAGGCTCACCAACAACAAATGCAGTCCGGCTCAAGTTTAGCTCGTTGCTGTTTGCAGGAATCGTTCCTCTGAGTTTATTAAACGGCATCAGACAGAAGAAGGAGCTAATATGAGCAAAGCAACTGAGCTGCATGCAATCATGCACATGGAACAACGGGGTTACTTCATTAACGATTTATAGTCATGAATTATTCCTGACGTGGATCGACCAGGACGTAGTGGAAAGTCAGGCTGTGTTTCATTCTTCACTTCAGACTCTTATCGGCTGCAGTTAAATCCGTTGTTAGACAGTTGGTCCTCCTCAGGTTGAGTCCTGAGCTGTTAGTCTTCTTAAAATAGTAGTTGGATTATCAGCACACAGGCTCAGATGTTTCAGTGTTTAGGAAATCATAAATAAACCAGGCTGTTAGTTATTTGATCAGCAGCTATTAGTTCAGGTCTAGTCTGTTGTTTATTAGTTCATTATGTACTTGATGAACTTTCCAATCTCAAATGAATGACGAGTATCGTACCATCACTGTAGTGGCTGGTGTGTCTGACAGAATGCCGTCACTTTAACAGACCGGTGAAGCAGCAGTGTCACGTATCTTCTGATTCTGCTTCCCCCTTCCCAGTCTTTCCCATTACGTAACCACCTTTAACCACGTATTAGCCCACATTGTAATGTATATCATGTCCTCAGCTCTGCTTTCACTAACCCAGCCTCTCCCCACATCTATGTCGTCCTGCTCTCTCTCTCCTGCCCGTCGCCCCGCTCGTCTTGTTCGTCTTCCGGAGCAGAATCAGAGAGGAGTCCTTGGCCTTTGAAGACATGCTTCGTGCTGCAGCGGACATCGCCAGCAGGTTGGAGAGCTCATCACAGGCCCTGCATGCTTCATTCACCAAGCAGCTGAGAGACATTGCCAAAATCCATCGCTAAGAAAGTGCTGAGAACTGTTTAAAAACTGCTCACATGCCATCCTTGAACTTGTGTTCGACATCCTGCGTGAGGCCCAGGAAAAGAGGGGAGAAGAGAAAAAAACCTTCCTGCGGCTTTCTGTTCGTGTTTCTATGTGTATGTATGATGCAGCATTGAGAGGCAGCCATGTGTCAAGGTCATCCTTTAAAACTACTTTAGTGATCAGCGCAGACGCACAGCAACGAGAAAAAAAAGAAAAAGAAAAAAACATTGCTGGGTAGAAAATCATAACCTCGTAACCCATTAAATAATTTCCATCCAGGACTTATTCATGGAACTTTGTGAGGTCAAACATGGCAACAGTATGCGGTGCAGGTTTCAGCCAAGCCGAATGTTTATGGATCAAACTGGATGGGCCTTCGGAGAGCCCTCATAATGGCTCTGTTAGTCTTCTCCAGAGGAAGCTATGGTTTGGCCATCTGGTTCCAGGGTAAGGATGGAGGCCAGGACACGCTCACAATGACTGGTGTGGCAGTGGAGAGTTTGTTTCTGCAGCTACGAGAAAAAAAAAAAGGAGCAGACTGCCAGTGGAGCAGCTCTGTTACAAAGGGATGTCTGCTGTTTGGATAAAACTATCTGTGGGGACAAGATAATATATATATCAAATCTCATATTTCCTGCAATTAGGAAGACATAAGAAAAAACTGTGAAGCTGCACAAGAAAAGCTGAATTAAAATATTTAACATCAGTTGAATGCCTTTAACCCTGCCAGGCTCGTCTATGATATTTGCAATTATAATTTGTATTGTTATACATTTGGGTATAATGTATGATGTCATGTATGTTTGATCCAGTTTAGAGCAGCTGACAATAAAGCAACTGTCTTCTGAATGCTTTCTAAGCTTATGTTTTGCATGTATTCTGCATGTCATGCTCATCAATATATATTTGGGGGAACCAAAACCTTGACTGAACACATTCATTCACCCACTCTGCCCTCTAGCTGCTTTCCACAGGAATATCCCAGCGAAGTTTGTTCAGCTGCATATGTCATCTGTCACTCATTCTGTAATGATCTGATGAATAAATATCGTTAGTTGTCTGATTTTTGGGGGTTTTAGGGTAAAAAAATGATATACTTTTGGATGTGTGTGTGTGTGTGTGTGTGTGTGTGTGTGTGTGTGTGTGTGTGTGTGTGTGTG